CTTACAACAATGACCCAGAAGGACGTGGCCTTTGACTGGGAAGAGAAGCAGGGGAGAGCGTTCCAAACGTTCAAACGAGCCTTGTACACCACACCAATACTATCCCTCCCCGAAGGGATAGAAGACTTTGTAGTATCAAATCAAGGGCTTGGATGTGTTCTAATGCAGCAAGGTAAGGTCATCACTTATACCTCGAGACAGCTGAAGACCCATGAGGTCAACTACACGACCCACGATCTTGAACTGGGAGCAGTTGTGTTTGCTCTTAAGATCTAGAGACACTAACTGTACGGTACAAGAAGCACCATCTTTACAGACCATAAAAGCCCACAACACATATTCGATCAGAAGGAGCTCAACATGAGACAACGACGGTGGCTTGAACTACTTAGTGATTACGAATGCGAAATTCGTTATCATCCTTGTAAAGCCAACGTAGTAGCTGACACCCTAAGTCGGAAAGAATATTCTGGTCGTAGAGTCAAATCATTGACTATGAATATCCATTCACACTTGGCCACGCAAATTAAGGCATCTCAACTCGATGCTTTGAAACCTGAAAATGTGGCGGGTGAATCCCTAATAGGGATGGATAAGAACTTGGAGGTAAAGGGTGGCGGAGCTTATTATTTCATGGATCGGATCTGGACCCCAAAACTAGGTGGTTTCAGAGACTTGGTCATAAACAAGGCGCACAACACTTGTTATTTTGTACACCCGGGTTTAGATAAGATGTATCTGGATCTTAAAAAGTTATATTGGTGCCCTAACATGAAAGCAGAGATTGCTACCTTCGTTAGTAAATGTCTTACTTACGCCAAGGTCAAGGTCGAATACCAGAAACCCTTCGGTCTACTACAACAGCCGGAGATACCGAAATGGAAGTGGGAACGGATTACTATGGATTTCATAACCAAGTTTCCCAAGACAACGGGTGTACTTGATACCATATGGGTCATCGTCGATAGATTGACCAAGTCTGCACACTTCCTACCGATCAAAGAAACAGACAAGATGAAGAAGCTTACAAGAACTTACATTAGGGAGATTGTACGACTGCATGGTGTTCCCTTATCCATTATCTCGTACAGAGATAGTAGATTCACTTCGAGGTTCTGGCATTCGTTACAAAGTTCCTTAGGAACTAGGCTGGACATGAGTACAGCCTTCCTTCCACAGACCGACGGGCAAAGTGAGAGAACTATCCAAACCTTGGAAGATATGTTGCGAGCCTGTGTGATCGAATTTGGGAAAGCATGGGATACTCATTTATCCCTTGTCGAATTTTCCTACAACAACAGTTATCACACGAGCATAAAGGCTGCTCCATTCAAGGCCCTCTATGGCCGAAAGTGCAGATCCCCTCTGTGCTGGGCTGAGGTGGGTGATACCCAGTTAGCTAAAGGACGAGTTCCTGACAGCGCTCTCACAGGTTTGGAGAACATACAGGAAACAATGGAGAAGATCGTTCAAATCCGTGAATGATTGAAAGCCTCCAGAGACCGACAGAAAAGCTACGCTGATAAACATAGGAAACCGTTGGAATTCCAGCTGGGTGACCGCGTTCTATTGAAAGTCTCACCCTAGAAGGGCTTGATACGCTTTGGAAAGCGTGGAAAGCTAAATCCAAGGTACATTGGGCCTTTCAAGATTCTCGCAAGAATCGTCCCTGTAGCTTACACACTTAACTTACCGCGCGCACTCAGTAACGTACATTCTACCTTCAACGTATCGAACTTGAAAAAGTGTCTGTCCGACGAGACTCTTGTAATCCCACTCGATGAGATCTAGATCAATGAGAGCCTCAACTTCGTGGAAGAACCAGTAGAGATCATGGACCGGGAAGTCAAGCAAATGAAACAAAGCCGTATCTCGATTGTCAAGGTTGCTGGAACGCCAAGTGAGGACCGAAGTTCACATGGGAGCATGAGGATCAAATGAAACTGAAATATCCTCATCTATTCGCTTAGTTATCTGTAACTACTTTATTTGGTTAGACTTTAATTTCGGGACGGAATTTCCTTTAACCGGGGGGGGGGGGGATGATGTGACAACCCAAAATTTTCTTTCGGTCAAACCCTTAAGTCAATGACTTCAAATTATAAGTCAATTTCATTTTTATTTATTTTTAGCAAATTTAAAGTTCGTTTGATTATTATAACAATTATTCTTTAAACGAACAGGTGAAAGGAAGTGCCGCCTCGAGTCTTGAAATTTCAAAACCGCAAATACCACGTAGTTTAGAAATTGATGGCCAAACTTTTATGTTTGGGCCATAGATTCCTCCAAAAACCGTAAACTCATGCCTTAAGCATGAGTTTACTCCCCAAACTCCTCACTTCTTACTTTCATTCTCAAGAACAACTCCAAAACTCTCTCAACTATCATCCCGTCTTTCACCCGATTTCCCGAAAATGTAAGTATTTCTTGACTTGATTTGTTGTTATATCATAGCAACTAGTGATTATACATCTTTTCATCCATCCATTTTCATGTTTTGCTTAGATTTTCAAAACACCAAGAACACACACTAGTGTTCTTGGACTTTTGGCTCATTTCAAACTTCTATATTGTAAGTGCTTCTATCCTAGAGTATCATAGATCTTATATTATGTCCATACATCAAGAAATCACGAGGAAACACCAATATCAATGGTTTTTACGGTCCAAGAACACCCTGGGCCGTAAACCCTTCTTAAGGGGCCAAAAGTGACCCTAGTCCATTTCTATGCCTTAGTAACTAACATGGATCCTTTCATTGATATGTTAAGGACTTGAAAACATAAAAATACCATGACCCATGGGGGTTACGGCCGTAAACCCAAAGGGAAATGGTCTTAGGGCCGTAAACCCCTCAAATGAGGGAAATGGTGCCCGTACTTCTTCCTTAGGCTAATACTTCAAGTGGAAACACTTCTAAGGACTTATAAGGCTTCAAATCAACAAATGGTCAAAGGAGTGTGAGCTTACGGCCGTAAACACAAGGGTTTACGACCGTAAACTCAATGGGTTGAGGTCACAAAACCGTAAACTCAAGAAAGGGGTTCTTTTGAACCCTAAACCCAATAGCTTTGTCCTATAACACTTACATGAAATCCTTGGGATTTATAACGCTTATATAAGGTGTTTAACATGTCCTAGGATGTCTTAACTTTGTTTATTAGTTGTTTAGAGGCTAATTGGATACATATATTTGGTATTATATGACAACTAGGATCCTTGTGTGTGTTCAAGACTTCACTTGACACCTAGCAATCCTATTTCATCAATTCATCCATACCACTCACTACAGGTGAGTTCATACGCATTAATTAAACTTTTAAATGTTTTTAAATGCTTTTATGGGGGGGGGGGGATACAAGTAAAGTTACTATACTTAATATCTCAATCACATATGATTAATAACTATCAACAAGGGAATCTCTTACTTTCAAATTGTTTTACTAAACTGTTTTAGTTCAAAATGTATTACAAACTCTTTTACATACTAAATGTTTTTACGAAACTTCTTTTATACTTTAAATATTGTCAAATGCATGCCTATGTATGTAAAGTTATATAAGTAGTTTTTAAAGGACCAAGGAAGGCTAGCTCGCTTTATCTCATTTTCCTCGTTGGGATGTGGCTTTAGGGCATCAGTTATCCGTCTGATGGTCGTATAAATATTAGTTATATATTATGTATACATATATAGACATAAAATTTCTATCATTCAATTCAATACCTTTGGGTAGCAAGGGCATACGTTCATGTTCATAAGTACAAGTCATATTACTAGTAAGCTACAATAGGTGTAGTTTAGGAAGTTACTAATACTATTACTAGAACCATAAATCATACAATGAGTCAGTTCATACATGAGTCAGTACATTACTATACATGCTAGATAGATAGATAGAGAGAGAGAGAGAACATACAATCTAGCTAGTACACACAATTCATTACAATACAGGCTAGACAGAGAAAGAACACACAATATTGGTAGCACATACATTACATATACATTAATACAATTATGTGAGCCACTAAGCGGGGCATGGCACTACCTGTCATGACCGTTTTTGTATCCAAAATCTCCTTAATTGGGGAGCGTATGAGTTTGCGTATAGATCTATACTGGATTGACTATCCTACACCATGCTGCTTGCTACAGTGGGACTTGAAAGTCTACGGGTGCCAAATGTCATTTCTTACGGCGACTTACATCATCGTTTTACTATTGAGTCGGTAGCAGGGTACAGGCCGATCACATGGCACTTTAAATAACAATTGGTTTAAGGTAGTTAGTATAGCAGTAGTTACTAAATACAATACTACATTGCTATAATATTTCTCCCATTACATTTACTTTGTGAACATTCACACGATGCATGGTAATGTCAAAAGTATATTTTTGGTTAATGATAGTCGGATTTGGGAAAATACACACTCTTTCAAGAGACACACACACAGTTACTAGATGCCTTGGTAGAAGGCTACTTTTAGTAGGAAACATAGGGTTTTCTATAAGTGTTCAAACAAATACAAACTTTACAAAACTTATACATTACATCTTGCAAACATCTTACAAATGCTTTCATACAAACTCAGACACTAATATACTTATGATCTCACCAGCTTTAAAGCTGATAAACTCTTTCAAAATAACTTGTATTCTCAGGTCACCAGTAGACAGGTATCGGTGCCAGGTTTTTGAGAAGATGGAGCTTGTTCAAGACTCATCTTTTATTTTGATGTACTTTTGGTGTCTATATAACTTGACAGAACACACTTGTATGAAATTATATTATTAATGCAATGAATGATGGTTTTGCTTGTTTACTACTTTGCATTGTTATGATACTAGACACGACGTCCTCCACCCCCGAACGATTCCGCCGTTTAGGTTTTGGGGTGTGACATGAGTACATGAAAGAGAATCATAACAAATAGCGGTGGGGGTGCAGCTGATCCTAGTCGCGGATGGATGCATCTGGTGGTGGTGCTCAGATGTCAAAATATCATGCCACATGGTCAGCCAAATCACTCATCTCCCGAGTGATCTTTTCATTTATCTGTTCTGATTGTACGACTCTAGCTTCAGCCGCAAATAGTTGCTGCCTATGGGTGGCTACCTCCTCCCCCAAGAGGCGTAGTCCGTCGGTGGAGTCTTCCTGAATTGTGTGCTGAGTTGGTATTGCTTCCGAAGGATGGGGTCCCATAGGGATTTCTCCAATGATTTCTACCCCATCGGACTCCTTATCAGATTCTACCACCTTATAGTTTGTTTTGTAATATTCTTCTGGTCCTACTTCTTCTATCCATCCGTCGGCCACCAAGGCCTGATAGTAGGGATCTCCTTGCTGAAATTCATCCATGGAGTCTGCACGAGAAAGGAGGCGTGAGAGATGAATAAGAAGGATACGCACGAAATACTCCTATAGTATTTTAATTGTTTAGGTTTGGTTCTTTAATACATTTTAGATAATTAGATGGAAAGTTTTTGATTCATTGACCACCATGACCACTCCCGAACACATGTTCGTTGTATTTCGAATAAGTATAGTTGATCAGACTCTATTTATCCCCAATACGACCACATAACTGCACGGGTTTAATTGCGATGTTCAAATCCTCCAAAGGCTTTTATTGTTTCTTGTTGTGATAATACCCTAAAATGCACACACAAATATGGATTTTATTTTGTTCATAGTATTTAAGTCGCAACGTATTTATAGTTGCATATTTGGTATGATTAGATATGCCAATTCACTGTAAACATTGCTCTGATACCAATCTGTCACACCGCAAACTGGAAAAGCGGCGGAAACGTCTGGGGGTTTGGGTGACTTCATCTTGTAATATCATCATGTTGGTGATTTTATATCATCAATATTATTTAAGTGTAATAGGATTAAATTTGTTGACCAAAAGTGATCTTGTTGAATATTGAACAAGTTAGGATAGTGTAGGAGTGCACACTTGATTACGTTTTTCAAGATTCAAAGTACATCGTTATTTAGGGGTGAAGCTCCTAAACGAATGGGGTTTCGGGGGAAGCGCCCCTGGGAGCAGGGTCCTAGGGGCGGAAGCCCCTGGCTGGGATTGAGCTGACCCTTTTTTAGAAAGTTGACACTTTCTTCCCTGAGATCTGTTTGATGACAGGTTTTGTAGTTTTATGACAGTTTGTAACTGTATATTGACAGTTTTCAGACACGAATGATATAACCGTTTTTTGGTCATTTTTCTAGTACATCTTGAAGAACATTTTCACATACATTCTCTGAATTTCATCCAATTGAGTGGCCGATCTGTACCATTAAGATACTTCAATTTGATAGTGAATCACAACTTTCAAAGAATCCAAGCAATCTATTCATCCCCTATTTTCTAACACATCACAATGTATATAATTGAAACGATACAACATCATCATCACACATACAATAATACAACAATACTAGGTTTACATCATTGTACTCATTTATAAATGTTACATTCCAAAAATATAAAGTGTATGATAGCAACAAAACGCAACAAAATCCACTTGTTCTTGATGTCCACCAACTTAACGATTTCCTGAAAATAATAGTTATTTTGAAAACGGAAACATATATAATTTTGGTGAGTTCATAAGCATGTTGAATGTAAAGTTTTGTATTACTTTGAAAACACCAAAAAATCCGATATTTTCTGTAACATGGTTTGAAAGTTTTGTATCAAATTTTGTGCTAGAGCATGCGTGTTTCTGTTTAGGAATTGTACTAAAAGGAGTATTCTGGAAAATCTTATATTTTCTGTTGTAAGTAGAAAGTATTGAATAGTTATATGTTTTTGTATAACCAAAATTGTATAGGTATTCCGTAAATTTTACAGTGGAGTTAATCTCTATGTGAGTTGTTATAACCATACTTGATAATGATTGATCCGCCTATCATGACGTTTTTCAGGTGCTGACTTGTTTAAGGTAAGGTTTGTCACCATAGACTGACCTAGTCTAGCTGTAGCGATCAGCTTAGGTGTGGGGTGTCAACCTCGTATAGATCTATACACAAACTCGCGCTTTCCCTCCAGTGGACTCTGGTTATAACCATAGGCTTACAGTTGTACACTAGATAGGTACGAATGAACGAAATATCTCACAAGATCCTTAACTGAATCTACGCGAATATTGTATTACACTATGTAACGTAGTGAACAATGTTCCATGTATGTTTTAAGTCTACTGGGCCCAACAAGCATGTAAATGGGCCACAAATGTCCAAATAACATGTAATGTATATTCCAGGCTCAATAAATATGTAATTTGACCATAAAGGCCCAATAGACATTGTGACAACCCAAAAATTTCCGTTAGTTTTAACGTCGAAATTAATTACGTCAAAAATTAGCCAAATTTATCCCAAAAATATTTTTGACTGGATTTAAACCCGTTGGAATATTTTAAATAATATTCGTCACGCGAACCAAAGTTTAGGTGGTATAATTTTAAAATTTGTCGTGATTAACGACAGTCGTGAAAAAAAAAACCCCGTTCGCGGTTGGTGTCAGGTGAACCCCAACCAGGCCATAAACTCCACCCTATATAAGGGTTGATTGGGTTTCATTCCCACTTTTTTTCCCACCTTAGACACTCTCTCTCTCTACTTTCTCTCTCTACAAATTGGGGTTTGGTCAAAAATCGCCCCTTCAAGCTTCAAATCAATAAGTTAACCTTCCTAGCTTGTTGTTTATCTTATCTAGCTTGCAAATTCGTGGCTTAAACATCCAAAACCCTCAAAAACATGAGTTTACAGTCCAAGAACACCTTCATGGACTGTAAACACTCATAAATGGGGTTTAATGCTCAAAAACCCTCCCAAACCACTTCTAATGCTTAGCAATGACTTTGAGGCTTGCATGAAAGGACTTAGAACACCAAAATCATAACAAATGGGGAGTAAACAAGAGTTTATGGTCTAAGAACATCCTTAGACCGTAAACCCATCTTCATGGACCATAAACACCTTTTTAGGTGTTAAACTACCCCTCAAACACCTCCAAAAGCTTCCATGAGTGCCTAGAGCCTTGTAATTCGTCGTTTGATGCACCGAAAACATGATTGATGGACTAACATGAGTTTACTGTTATAAAATCATGTGGTTAAGGTATTAAACTCCCTAAGAACATCTTCATAGACTGTAAACACCTTTCCAAGGTGTTTAAGTGCCTTTAACACCTTCATATGCTCACATAAGTGACTAGAACCTTGCATGCATGAGTTAGAACCACCAAACAACAAAAGAAATGGGAAAACATGAGTATACGACCGTAAACACATGTTTTTATGGCCGTAAACTCTTCAAGGAGTGGTCATGGACCGTAAACTCCCAAAAATGGTCCATTTGGAGCCTAAACCACTTTCTATGACCTAGAATTTAACCTAGCCTAGTTCCACAAGTGTTATAAGACCTTGATGCATCCAAGAACACACCACCATGATTTTACGGCCATAAACTCATGGGGATAAGGTCTTAGGTCCGTAAACTCTATAAAGAGTTTACTCTTGAAGAGTAAACTCCCTAATTGGGCCATACACTCCCTTAGATGTTACCCGGGACACTCCTAGCACCTGACCAAAGTGTTTTCCGCTCATTAGGATGCGTATACGTGTTTAATTAGTATTATAATTACTAATTGTATGTAAACATATGTCATCATATGTTAATAGGTCACTAAGTGTGTTCAAGACTTTACTTGACACCGAGCACCCAACCGGCACCTCCGCTCGATCCACTTACAACAGGTGAGTTCATACCCCTGAATTAACCTTTTAAATGTTTTTACATGCTTTTATGTGGGGGGGGGGGTACAAGTTAAAACATGGTAGTTATAATATCAATCATATGTAATTAATAACCCGCATGCACAAGGATTTATCACACTTTTAGTTGTTTTACCAAGAATAATACCATAGATGGTTTTTCCAAAATGTTTTTACTTGTTTAAATCTTTTCTCAAATTATCTCTCATGCTGTATGTTTTACTTCAAAAACAGTTACAACAGTATTTTAAACAAAAGTTTTCTCTACCTATATTGTTTTATCAAGGTTACATTCAAAATTTGTTTATGAAAGGTTTTCAAAGGATTTCCAAAGGCCTCCAAGCTTATTTTACAAAAGGATAATAAGTCCAATTTTCTTAAGTGTAAAGGTTTTCCAAAGTTTTCGTTAAAGTTTTCTTTTATGCTTCTATACTTCTGCTTCGTAAATACTTCTGCTTCGTTGAATACTTCTGCTTCGTTAAATGCATGCTTGTATTTGTATAGTTATATAAATAATGTTTAAAAGACTTAGGAAGGCTAGTTGGCCCTATTTCCTTTTCCTCCTTGGGATGTGATCTGGTGGGTATAGGATATCCGTTCGAAGGTTGTTTAAACGTTAGTTATATATCATGTATACCTATATGGACATAAAAACTCTCTCTCTCTCTCTCTCTCTCTCTCTCTCTCTCTCGACCATTACATCGCCTTGGGTAGTAAAGGCCTCTCTTTATTATTCATGTTTCTGGAACCCTAGTAACTATTATAGGAATAATTAGGAGACTCTATCTCTCACTCTATCTCTCACCCTATCTCTCTCTATCTCTCTCTATCTCCCTCTCTCTCTTACTTTAGAATGTGACACACTATTTCCCTCTACGGCGCTTCATTGCGCCAATGCCGTGTAACCAGAGTCTCCGGGAAGGAGAGCGAACATCATGTGTATAGATCTATACGGGACTGTCACTCCCACACCCTGACTACTAGCTACAGTCCGTGTCGGTAAGGCCCATGGGTGACTTAAAGCCACTACTACTATTGCCACTACCTCTACGCGTGACCTGGAGGGTCATCGGATTCTCTATCATCGATCAGCATGGTTACTTACGAGTTCACATTCACCCTTGTATTAGACCTTGCTAGCTGTATCGTTCCTTTGATACTGTATGGGGTCTGTTTTTCCTTTGTTATAGACCTTGCTAGCTGTATCTTTCATTTGATACTGTCTGGGGTCTGTGTATCCTTTGTTTTAGACCTTGCTAGCTGTATCTTTCATTTGATACTGTCTGGGGTCTGTGTTTATCTGTTTTAGACCTTGCTAGCCGTATCGTAAATTTGATACCATCTGGGGTCTATGTTTCGTTTTGTTAGACTGAGCCAGACATATCATTCACTTGATACTCTCCTGGAGTCTATGATTTCTTTGCCTTAGTCAGCAGTATCCTCTGCTGAGGCATGTGTTAATTTCCCTAATGATTTTACTAGTGATATTCTCCTACTTTGTTTAAAGTTAAATACCATATTTTGGTAATGATAGTATTTCAGGGAAAATTTCTCTTTAAAACATAACGCTGTCTA